CTATTAGCAAGAAAAGTGTAGAGATAAAATTCCTCACTGATGTATGAGACAAACTTGATCACACAATACTGTCCGTTAGCTGTGGTTGCACTCCCTTCAGTCTCATGTGACTCCTCAACACATACATACAGCGTTCTCACGTTCTCAACCTCCTGAGCGACTGTCAGGAGGTCGAGCACGTCGGCGCTAATCACGGGGTTGGTGGTTCGATCCCCAGCAACTCCTGTCCACGAGCCTTTAAGCAATGCATTGAACCCCAAATTGCTCCCAAGGGTCCCGGCAGCTCATCGGTGTGTGTGAATGGGTGAATTATTTTACAATGTATGTTTTTCTTATTGGTGCTTTTGTTTGTATTTACTACAAGAATTATAATAATAATAATTAACCAAAAAACCTATGCTGAAAGACTCTTATGAGGGTTTCTTATTTCCTGGAAACGTCCATCTTATTAGTTAGTAACTGCCGTCTCCTGTCTACCTCCTACAGGACATCCAGAAGAAACGTCAAAACAAAGACCTGGTTGAGCTGCAGTCGCTGATCGATGCCCACTTCGAGTGCAGGAAGAAAGAGGAAGAGGAGCTCATCGGTCTCAAAGAAAGAATTGTGAGATTTTACCCAAATAGAAAACATAACTGGTGAATTGGCGTTTCTATATGTACGTTAGTGATTAGGCTTTGTTTAAAAATCACCACAGTTCCAGATATGTGGATATAAATCAAACAACTAAAGCATTAGCTTAATTTCTGCAGGTGGCATGAAGGGTTGAAGCACTGTGTTTTGATTTGCAGGAGAAGCGTCGTGCTGAGCGAGCCGAGCAGCAGAGGATTCGTGCTGAGAAGGACAAAGAGCGGCAGGCCAGGCGGGAGGTACGCAGCTTCTGCTTCCACTGATCCGTCACAGTGCCGTTCACAGCACAACTCAGTCTGTAACTTCATTCTTTCAACAGCAGTGACCTGTTTTTAATAGATTACCTTATAGAAATAAATCCACCTTTACAAATACCCATAAGTGTTGAAAAAAAAAAAGTAAAAGCAGTTTCATGCTGTCGTTTGTGATATTTTAAAATGTATTTTACAGGCTGAGCGGCAGAAAAGGGAGGAGGCCGACGCCCACAGGAAGGCTGAGGATGAAGCCAAGAAGAAGATAGCGCTGAGCAACATGGGATCGGGCTACAGCGGCATCCTGCAGAGGGTATTCCTGTTGTTTCTTTTCGTTGTTGTGATTCCAGATTTCTCTTTCAGCCTCATACAAAGCAAGCAGCAACACGTTGTATTTTTGAGAAGACATGGACTCTTAACTAGCTGGACTTTTCCAGGCTGACCAGAAGAGAGGCAAGAAGCAGACTGAAAGAGAGAAGAAGAAGAAGATCATGGCAGAAAGATGCAAGCCCCTGAACATCGACAACTTTGGCGAGGATAAGTTGAGGTAACGCACAGGAGGGAACAAGAGTCACTGAGAGCATTCATTGTTCATTCATTCACAGTCATAATTTAAAATTATCAACTCAACTTCCCTGAGAATCATCACATTTCTGAGTTTTCTTCTGTTTCTTTCTTTTCATTCATTCATTTTGAATATTTTGTTTTATAGGGACTGAGTATAATAAACATAAATTCCATTAATATATACAGTATATTTTCATGTTTCACTATCACTTTATATATTTTGACATCACTCATGCTTAGAAAGTCCCATCAACACAGTTCTTATATCTCTGGACCGATGATAGCCCAGAATTAGAATCAGGTTTATTGCCATGTAGGCTTTTACATACAAGGAATTTGCCTTTGAAAACTGGAGCATTACAGTAAACACAGAGAATAGAAATAAAGATAAAAATAGAAATGGATAAAAAGAGACAATATATACAATTATAAAAAGAGAGACAATATGTAAAATACAACTGCTATTTAAATAAATGAATGAGTAAAGAGCTGTACAGTTTGTATATAGACAAAATATAAAACTTTTTTTATAAAACCTGTCCAAAAACATCAAACAACATACATGCAAATTGAGTGGTCTCATATGCAAAACGTCACAATCCACTGATCTATTTCAACAGCAGTTGAAATAAGCTCAAGATAAAAACACAGTTACGCCCCAGAAGCAACATGTTATTTTTCAGGTTTAGAGGATTGTTTATTGACTGTTTGGTGTCTGGTTGGTTTCAGGGATAAGGCGAAGGAGCTGTGGGAGTGGCTGCACAACCTGGAGGCAATTAAATACGACCACTGCGAGGCGCTCAAGAGACAGAGATACGAGGTCAGTGAGGAAATGTTGTAATCTGTGCAACATCTCAAGTTTAGATATTGAATTACCAACTCTTCTTAAACAAATTTCTCCTTATTAATTCTGTGAATACTTTTATTATGACATGTTAGAGTATTTCCTGATGGGTTGATCAGCAGTGACACATCCGCCTGCGTCAGTTCTCTTTTACTCCTTGTGCTCCTCCCTGTTCACATCCACATTCTCCTGTGGTTAAATAATCCAGGACAGGTCACACCCAGTTTTAGGGAAACAGGAGATTTGGGTCTGAAATACTGAATACATTGTGGCATTTTAATGTATTAAATTAAAACGAAATATTATGTATTAAAAGTGTCAGCTGTAAACAGAGATCTGCTTCAAACACAGCTGTTTGTCTTTCAGGTGATCTCTCTCAGAAACCGCATCGATGAGCTGCAGAAACAGTAAGTAGCTTGTTGACAGCATAAACAAAGTGGTGAATACAACAAAGAAAAGATATTTGTGCATGTATGTATGTTCACGCTGGAAAAGTGACAAAACAATCAAACTCCAAACTCACACACTTTTTGTGTGTGTGATGCTGATATTTTACTGAAATATATTTAATCAAAATTAAAAGATAAACTAATAAATCATAGATACATGATAGATTTATATGTGGTTCACTGTAGGCTACATTATAATGTAATATTATTAGTGGTGGAAGAAGTAATCAGAGTAGCAATTCTACAATTTAAAAATACTCTGTACAACCCTGCATTCAACATTTTTAACATTAACATTAAATATATAAGGAACAAAGATTTTAAAAGGAACTCTAGTAATTTCAGAATCATATTATATTACTGGATTGTTCATTACTTTAATGTTGCAGTTGGTGAAGGTTAATTTATATACTGCTGCTATAATAATATAAATACAACATAATAGATGATTCATATATTGTATTAATAATCTAAATCTGCAAAGTAAGTAAGGCAGAGTAAAAAGTACAATATTTGTCTCTCAAAAGTAGCATAAAATGTATATACTCAACTACAAGTACTTCAAATTTGTATTAAATAAAGTACTTCTACCTAAATATATTCAACCGCTGAATATAACTATTTATTTACTTATTTCTTTCTTTATACTTTTTCCCCTTTTAATTTTAAATCTGTTTGTCCTGGTTATAGCTGACTTTAGATGAATTTACCTAGTAATAAAACAAATATATTATTTATGGGTTATTAATCATGTTAATGTAAATAATAGCCCACTGTAGGTTAATGATTTTAACTAGTGGGCCTGTGTTTGGACACTAGAAGGCGATGTAGCTTTAAGTTAAAATAATATCTAAGTTGGTTCAGTAGTAATTCTCTAGAATAAATCTATCAATAATAATTAAAGTCATCATAAAGGATTATTGTGCAGATGTGACTTTGTTTTTGCACTTTGCACTTTGCAGCAGCAAGAAGGGAGCCGCCTCGCGCCGCAGGAAGTGAGCGGCCCCTGAGTAACGGCCAGTCCCCTCGGCTCTGACAGCGACCCCGTAGACACCCGCAGCTCCGGAACAAAGGCAACAACTGGCAGCTCTTACCGACTGCTTGAGTGAAACGTTTATCTGGATGAATTTAGCTCCAATAAAGAAATTTTAACTCACTGTGTTTGTGTAAAATAAAAAGATTCAGAGAATAAAATGGCAAAATCATGAATCCCCCAGTCTGAATGTCTAACTTTATGCCTATCGATCTATTTTTTGTTTTTGATCGACCTGAAATCAGTTTCATGCAGTAAAACTCCAACACAAAACATTTAAGGTATAGATTAATTGATTAAATTCATTTTTTAACTGACTTTTTATATATTATATACATATGATATATCATTTTTTTATGTATATTTTTTTGCAGTAAATTAGAGCAAAATAACTCAGATGGCCTGGATTTTAAATGGAGATCTCCATTCAATCACCACTTGTTCTTCAGAACAGTCCACTGACTTTCTTTCAACTGCATCTCACAGCTCTTATTGTGGAGTTTACTCTTCTTTACAGTACAAAGTAATATTTGTTGTTAGTGTTGAAAGATCCTTGTTGAAAGACACAAACAATCTTTTGAACTGCTTTAACTTCTTCAACAAATTGTGTTGTATATTCTGGTTTAATCCAACACTTTGAAGCAATGGGTCTTATATGACGAATAAAATATTCAAACTTACTGAGATATTAATATAATTCATGGCTGCATAATCACATTCCAATATTTAAGTTTTGTGAATCATTTTACACACATCTCCATACAATTTGACATCTTTGAATCACCACTACAATTTAAGTTGTGATACATTAAAGCTGCTGTGCGTCTAAAGTAAATCTGAAAGAGGTGGGTCACAGTGACGAACCCTCAGAGGATGAAGCATTTTAGCATCTTTCAGCTCATTGTTTTGGCTGTTTCTGCAACTTTACTGGTTTGGTTTAGCTGTCTCCACAGAAACACTCTCAGAAATCACCATTATGAACTGCCATTTTTCTACAGTAGCCCAAAACGGACAAACCAATTACTGGCTCTACATCTAGGGCCTTTCACGTTTTTCTCAAATTTCACAGCCACCGTAGTTTCTCTGACTGATTTAGTTGCAGTCTGCAACTTCACTGCTGAATGCCACAAAATTCTACCCACTGGTCCTATTACAGACTTAATAAAAGATGTATTATTATAATATTAGAGCAGATTCAAGTTATTGAATAATTTTGCTGAGCAGAGGAATCAGAATATAAATATTTCTTTATTAAAATGCCATTCACTCATAAATAATATATATAGACATATGACACAACAATCCCAGCATCCCTTGTGTCTGTGTTTGCTTTTGTGTGTGTTTGTGTTTGTGTGTGTGTGTGTGTGTGTGTAGTGTAGTGAACAAACAGCTCTTATTTACAGATGTACAAAATGGTCCTCAGTTATTGTATCTGCAGCAGAATCCGTAAGGAAAATGTCCTCTGCTTTCCTTCTGCTGACATTAATGGAACACAACGGCAGTCTGGAGAAACTGGACTCAAACTTAAGGAAAATAAAGTCTTTTAAAGTTTAAGTCCTTGGCTCCGTCAGGTTCAGAGTGGCTCGTTGAAGCTGTTGGCTTCAGTGGAGGGACTGGAGCTTGCAGGGCTGGTCTGAGGCGAGCCGGGGCCCCGGGGGACCACGCTGTCGCCCAGTGGGGCCACAGCTGGATCTGTGCTGATCCGCTCTACGATGCTGGACAAACAGTCCAAACTGGAAATGAGCGACCGCTTGTTGCTGCTGGAATCTGTAACAGAGAAACAGGGAAATTTTACTTTTAGTTTTTTATGTTTTCATGACAATTATGTCATATTAGGAGGAGTCAGTCATATTGAAGAACAAGAAGGTCATTGTAAAGGTCATACTGAAAGAGTAAACTTTTACTATTTAAATCAAACAAGAGGCACGTTATATTAAATGACAAATCTGTCATGTTACTTTAAGTAAAGATGATTTTAAAGGAGAATAAAATTGGAAACGTAGTATACATTAAAAGAGAAAACAAACTTATTTAGTGAGAAAACAGGTCAGATTAAGAGTAAATCTCAAGCTGGACTTTTTAAATGAGAGCATTAAATAAAAGTGTGGTCATATTAAAAGATAAATCTGTTATATTTAAGAAGAATATAGTCCATTTAGAAGAAAGATTGGTTGTATTGAAGAAGCTAGTTACATAGAAAGAGAAAGTACAAACAATCAAAAACAAGTCATAATAAAACTGAAATTGAAACTGGTTGAATGAAAAGAGAAACAACTGCTAATGAAGTAGAAACAGATGATATTAAAGGAGTGACTGTGTGAAACTGACCGTCTGCTGTCTGGCTGCAGTAGGAACCGTCACTGTTTTCACTTCTCGTTGAACACGGAGAGATGAAATCCATCTGGAAACAGATCAATCAAGACAATTTCAGTCAAGGAACTAAACATCAATGATCAATAAGTTGACACAGTGTTTGAAGAGAGGAACGATGCACAGTTGATATGTGACTGCTGAGATTTCCACATGATTTATGTTTAAAAGCAGATTTACTTTCTGTATTTTATTGTGACGTATTTATGCACTTAATAATGTTCTTAATGTTTTGTTCTCCAGAGTTTGTTCCCCTCTGTTGGGATTTGAACATGTTAAGACACAAGAGATGTTTTAGTCTGGAAAACAATCAGTTTCATCACATCAGTGCGACATCATTCATTCTACATTTTAGCATGTAATAAGCATATCTTAGATCAAAAGGATCCATTTATTAGGTAAGATCTGGGACTTTTTCAATTGTTCAATTGTTGATCTGTTATTTGTTAAAGCATTACTTTTCTGTGCAACACAGAAACATCAAGAACACAGGTCAGAATTATTTGACATTAAATTAAATGAAAGATATTTTGTATTTTGGCTAATTTGATGATGCATTTATTGCCAAATTATTTTCAAATAAATTGCAAATTGGTTTAAAATCCCTTTCTGAACAGTCACAAATGTGCTGTAAGTCAATCTCAACATAAATTTAGGCATTAGAAACTTGAACAGTTGCCAGAGTGAAAGAAGAGCACATATCAATGGTTCAGAGTCAATTTTGGCCTAAAATATGACTTTAAAGGTGATTTTAAAGTTCCCCTTCATTGAAAATATATTGAAGCACTGTAGCCAAAAATAAATATCCCAAACACATTCCAAACATTTCATGCGGCAGCACATGAACTGTTCAGCTGTTCTTGGACTCACCATGCCATCGGAGCAGTTGGAGCGGGGGCTGCTGGAGGCGTCCGAGTCCCCGCTGTAGTGTTCCATTGACGAGTAGAAGCCGTCGTCCCGGCCAGTCCTCAGCAGCGCCTGCAGGGACTCGATGTAGCTGATTGCGTTGCGGAGGATGTCCACTTTGGGAAGACGCTGGTTTGGATTGGACGCCGTGCAGCGTTTCAGGGTCTCAAAAGCATCGTTGACCTTACTGAGCCTTCGCCTTTCCCGCATCGTTGCCGCTTTCCTCCGATCTTCGTGGGTTGTTTTCCTCTTGCAGGCCTTGCAAGCCCAAAGCAGGCAGTGCCCTGCCTGGTGGAGGCCCCCGGGAGCCCTTACATGCTCGTCCTCCTCCTCTGCAATGGGGACGTGGTGGTGGTGATGGTGATGAAGATGGTCCTCTGACTTCAGCAGGCCAGCGTGCATCAGCCGGGAGTCCAGGTCGTCAAAAAAGTTCATGTCGCTGGTGCTGAAGCAGGGGTCATCGTAGAGGTCATCAGCAGAAGAGAGAGGGAAGGGAAGGTCGGACAGATCCATCGGGCTCTATAGAAGATTCCTTAAGAGTGACAAGAGGGCAAAAAGGAAGAAGTCCCCTGAAAGGTTCCTCTGATGACAGAAAAATAAAGTCTCCACAGAGTGTCTTCTATTTGCTACAAAGAAAGTAAAAGACAGGAAGATACAGATGAAAGTTTCTCTTAAAAGTCTCCTGTCAAAGTCAGCTGACCCTTTAGAGAAAGTAGTTTTGTGTCTGCAGAGGAGATCAGTGTTTAAAGGGACAGTCTGTGTAACTTCAGCTCCCTGGGCTGGGTCTGTCTTTATAAAGGAGTCTGTGTGTGGGCGGGGCTGTGGTGTAAGTGACCAATGGTCTGAGGGGTGTGGTGTGTGTGAGTATATGTGTGTGTGTGGAGAGAGGAGGAGGAGGAGGAGGAGGAGGGGTCACTGAGGTGAAACTAAGCAACAAAAAGGAAGTAATAAAAAAGCAATTTAGTCCATCTTAATCACAGAAAACCAGCTCCATAGCACTACTAGAGGTTGAAAACTACACAGGGAACCTTTAAATGATATAACACAAATATATAAGGACAAACAATAACTTGGACTGTTTCTTATGTTTTCTTATTAAGTAATAAAATCCTGAATTAGGGAAGTTAAAGTTTCTTTTCCAGAAATATTTGGAAATCAGAAAACTGTCTCCACTGAAGCACCATCATTTTGTTTCACCTCAAAATCAAACTCAGCCTCAGAATCAATGACTCTTCCAGGCAGTTTAGTGTTTAGCGCTTTAGTGTTAGATTATCTCACTCAAGAGTAACTAGAAAAATAATCATTTGACTACATGGAATTTCTTTTGAGACGAACATTTTGCAGTGATAACTGTTCACATAACTGAGGACAAAGTTTAGTTGCACTTTTGGAAAATATCTTTGAAATATCAGGGAGCACTTTATAAAGATGTTTTCCAAAAGGGAATGAAGCAACTTGTTAGAGATTCAACTTCTGTTCTGCATCTATTAACACAAACTAATTGTTGTATTTAATAATAATATTATAGATGTGACAGATTAGCAACAATAAAAGGAAGTTGAAGCACAAAAAAAACACTTATTTTGGATATTTTGGAGTTCTTTGTGTTTGAAATCCCACAACTAAGATTTACTTATTAGTGTTTATTTAACTATCCAATTTTATTAGATAGTAATCTTTTTAGATAGATTTGGTTTGTCTATTTAATTTTATTTATGTTGGTGTTTTTAGCACAATATATCACAAATAAATATATTTGAGAGTTTTGTTGAGAGCTTCAGTCTGACGTCCTGCTGAGGAGGTCATAATGTCACACAGGTGTCCGGTCTCTGATCTGAAGACAACCAGCCCCCTCAAAGTTTGTGTGTGTGTGTCTGTGTGAGTGTGTGTGTGTGTGAGAGAGAGAGAGACAGACAGAGAGAGATCATTTATTTAGATAAAAATAAATCTACATTTACAATATTTCAATAACTAGCAACAAAGACAATGTCTGACTACAATACAAAAACAAATATAAATCAGAATAAATAATCATTAAATTAAATTAAAGCAATGTGTCTGCAGAAGTGATTTCCTTAACTCTAGAGAAAAAGCCTTTATAATACCACACATTCACAAAAGCATCCAAATTCTCCATTTTAACATAATATTCTTTACTAGGCTCTTGAACACTAATAAACATCACACCTCTGCCCACTGGAATGGATATATAATGGTTATATCCATTTTGTCTTTACTACTTAATAAACTGCCAACTTTGCTTGACCAAAAATACATTTCAGCAGTCAATAATTTCGAGTCACAGACAGTGAATTTTTGTTTCTTTTTTTTTAAGTGGTCAGTTGTTTTTGATTTTTATCTTTAAAGTAAATACAATGAACTAACAATGGACCCATATTAATGGACTGTAGTCTTTATTATAAGTGTCATTTACCAAACCTGATCTTGGGTAGAAAAATGGCATATATACGAAGAATTGAAGGTTTCTTATGTGGCACTCTGACCAACAAATAACTTAAACTCACTTATTTCTTCTGTGAATCGAACCTTAACCCCAAAAACTGAAAGAAAAAAGAATTATTACATGAAAATCTAAATTTGAAGAGTTGATCCAAAAGTTTTGCATACATTATGAAATTAGGAATTTGTGTTATTTTGTTGAACAGCAAAAGCCAGGGAACACCTGCAAATAGAGGGTAAGTTTCACACTGTTTATGTATTTGTTGTCTTGAAAATGGGAGATTCTTCGCAGCCTCAGAGATATAAAGTGGTGGTGGGACAGAACAGGTCACATCCCAGACTCCTCACAGCTTAATGGGAAGGCAGTACATTAAATATAGCCGCTCGTGAAATCTAAGACAAGTGCCCTTTTAACTGAGGCTGGATATCCCCACGACTCTCACAGCCACTCCTCTTCTTGGGACACATTCAAATCAACCAAAGGAACACGAACCTGATACCAGCAGAATCAAATGCTGCAATAAACGTGTCAGTCTTGGCATAACTTTGAATCTTTCCAGCTCTGTTATATACATAGATGTACAAAACAGATTTCAAAGTAAAATGTATTTTGTGCCAGAGGATGTTCCCAAACAGCAGATAAATTAAATGTTGTGCATAATAATCCTGGCAGGGGCAATTTTAAACTTAAAAACATTTTAATAGTGTTACACATTTATATAAAATTGTTAAATTGTGTCATAATTAATCCAATCTCATCTTTTTTGCAATGTGTGGCATGAAATGACACAGGTGTGTACATAGAAAGCCCACTGGTTCCTACTGAAGACGTAAATCTCAAATATATCGTTTCATTTCATTTTAAAGCTATATCACAGCTTTAGCAAACATTACTCAAACAGAAGAAAAAACATACATTTGTGGCAGACTATTTTTAGCAGCGGATAAATTCACATTTGGTTCTTTTTTATTGTCTTTAGTATTGTCACAAGCAGAAAGAAAGCTTTGATACACAGATAATACTTCAGTTAATTGTTGCTTTTGGTGTTTTCATTTTCATTTTCATTCATTTTCATTTGTTCAGAGGTGAGAATACTTACTATTTAAATAGTTTTTTCAGGTATCTGTACTTTACTTGAGTATTTATTTTTTCTGACAACTTTTTACTTTTAAGTCCTACATTTCTACACAAATAGCTGTACTTTCTACTCTATATAACAGGCTTGTTACTTTAGTTTTAATGCATTTCAGGGGAATCAATTGTTATTATCATTTTCTTTTTTTTTTCTTTTTTTTACATTATTGCACACCTTCCCAACATCAAGGCTGGTGCATATCAGGTATGAAAGATGTAATGCCACAAAAACACCAAAAACATAAAAGACATAATAACATAAGACAAAAGGGACAAGGGAGGGAGACACTGTTTGAAGTTTCAGTTTCCAGCTAGGAGAAATGTCCTTCAGAGAAACCAGAGAGAGAGTACTTACATACTTTCAGAGCCTTTTTTTTACACAAATATCTTCTACACAAGTAAAAAATGTGGATACTTTTGCCACCTCAGATTTTGGTTCACTATGAGAGAAATATAGAATATCACCTATCCTTTAATTTAAGTAAAAGTTAAAAGTGCTTTGTTTCAGTTTAAAATGTGGAAAGCAGAGTTTAGTTTCCTCCGTCAGTGTGACCGCAGACTCTGCTCAGTACTAATCCTGCATTACAGAGATATTAAACCATAAGATTTGTGCAGGACCCGACTCTTTGCAGCTGGAACACTGCCCGAAGGCTTTGGACTCAGTGTGGTAAAGACATCTAAGCAAGCGGCCAATCAGAGGCCAGATAAGAACCAAGCAGAGACCAGTTCTAGTCCCGCAACCAAACAGGTTGAAGCGAAGATATTCTGAATGTTTGGCAGCTGTCAGACGTGTAATATGATTTCATACACACAGATGTTTATCAGAGCGCATTCACACCGGCTTTGATTGGTTTATAAATCCAACTTCATTTGAGGCTTTTCTTCTTTTTTTCTCTTTAACGACCACACACACAACCAAATGTAGTTAGCATAATGTACAAAATGGATTTCCACTCTAAACATTTTTAAATGTGACAACTGTCAGTGAAACTGGATAAAAAGGTTAGTGGCATCTTTTGTATGGTCACTTTTGTATTGTCCCTGGATGCAGCAGTTCATTTTAGAGTCAAAACCAAGCATCAGATTAGATGATCCACAAAAATTGAATTGGCTAACACTTTGTTAATGAATTAATTATTAATAGTTTTCATCGTAAGTGAGCTGTTTTGTCAGGTAATGCCATAATTTGCAGAAGACAATTGAATAAATTAAATCTCATATTTTGTCCCAGTGTTTATATCACTTAAAAGTCGTGACACTGTTTGACAGAAATTCTGAGTGAGTGACTCTTAATCCAGTTTTTTTGCTGATCTGTTGAGAATTTCTTTGTTTTTCAGTCTTGCTGACAGCTTCACCAACCCTCCCTGACTCTTCAAAAGTCTTCTACATATGAGTGTGATGCCTGGAAACAACACTCCTCCACACTCCTTCCCCTCTTACGCCATTATTCTCCCTCAGCCATTACACACTTCTTGTCAAGTTAGATGTGTGGGAGGTTCAGTGATTGCGTGAATGCCAGTGTACTCGGAGTCAACCGTGTTTATCTTTAGACTTAAAAACTGTTTCACTGGAGGCACAAATGTCTCAAAAATGTGAGATCATGATGACAGCTATAAGAAATTGCTAGAGAGACGATCTACAGTATAAATGTGATTTTTGTGTATGTTTGTTGCTGCAGAGCTTTGATCAGGCCTGACTCGACCCAAGCCCCAAAAACATTATATAAGAGCCCCAACCACAGAGGCAGCTAGCTCAGGTGTGTTTGCAGTGGGAGTTGTTCCCATTCTTGGCTTGCTACGTGCTAACATCAGCTAACAGAGTAGCTAACATTACTTCACCGAAGCTACTGGTGAAACATGATAATATAACAAGACTTTAAGTTAACGCCTGGCTCGGGAAGTAACATGATTCCAGTTACGTAATCAGGATACTTTAAAAAAGCTAACTGCAATCCATTACAGATACATAATGTAGTAAAAATTGGGATTATTTTGCAGAATTACAATTTTAAAAATACAGTTACTTTACTTTAATATTGTGATACTTGGATTAGATTACTGATAACTACAGATTACATTTACAAAGTAACCCTCCCAACCCTGGTTAACGTAATATTAGGGCTAAACTACCACCGATCCAACATCTGCTGAAGTGTTGATATCAATATCCAATATCCCAAGAAGGAATAACAGGGGGATTTCCCATTCAACCTTTAACCATCTCTGGTTTAAGATACTTATATTGTTGACTACAAGAACCAAAAGCAGAGCTAGCACATTGACAGCCACATTCACACTCACATTCACACCTATGGGTAATTCCAGTTCACCCTTTCATCTGTATTTGGACTGAAGGAGGAAACCGGAGCACGCGCAGCACTGTGCTGCCCATGATGGTCGGTGAACCGGGTCTGATGCCAGCCCAGCCCTCTCTGGGTTCACCAGTGTTGTATATTTTATACCTCTCATGTAGCAAAAATACTTGTTGCTGTTCTGACTCTATTTCTGGCTGCCTTTTTTGTTTTGATTCAGAAACAGAGGCACTTTTTCTTTGGGGATTCTGGAAATACCTCCACAACAATAGTTTCCATCCATTTTTTGTTTACATTTATAATATGAGAAATTAAAAAAAACAAAGTGGAAAAGCTGAACATTTTAAAAACAAAAAAACTCAAAATATTGCAAAAAGGTTTTTGCATGGACTATTATCGGCACCTATGAACCAACCCCCAATAGTTGCATAACATTATTGGATGGAAACTTATATTTGGACAAGGTACGTTTTAT